TCACTATAATTCAGTAATTGATATACTGTATTTTAATTCATAAGAGAACTATCAATTTTTTTTTATGTTGTATTTAACGTGAATTGTGCTGCAACAATTTCTTCTACATCATACTCACCTTGTTGCATATCATTATCAGACTTAATTTCATTAAAATTCTCACTTTCATAACTATTAGAGGATGTAAAAACTGAAGATTTAAAATCAATAGAAGTTGAAATACTTAAATCTAAATCTTGTTCATTTGGATAAAGGTCTTCAGCAGGATTAAGCATTTCAATTTTATCATTATCGGTTAATGTTTCTTCTTCAAATTCTTTAAAAACAGTTTCGGCAATGTTTGATATTATTTCAGAGATTATATCTGCAGTTTGAGTATGGCAAAGTTGTTCTATAGGGTTTGATAAATTAAACTGATAAATTTTTGCTAATCCTTCTAACTGATCTATATTTAATCTAGTTTGATGCTTTTCATAAAACCATCCTAATATTAAAAATATCTGTTCACAAAGTGCTAAACTTGGTATAATAGAAAAAAGTTTAATTGCCAAGTGTTGTAAATGATTAGGCATAGCTTCACATATATTTCACTACATTAATGGTGTATTATTATCAATCCTATAGGGGGGCAGTATAAGAATTTAGATTTTCATTTATATCTACTTTTTGCTCTTTATAAATTCATAATTGTGTTATTAAAATTTCACAACTTTCTTTTGATTTACCCATTTTTTTGCTATAATTTTCCAGCATAATTTGTAATAAGAGGAAATGTACCAAACTTTAATCCAATACCTTTATATGCTGGATGAAGGAAATATGTAAATTAATAGATAGGATCATTAAATTCTTTAAACCACTTATTAAATTTTTTAATACATTTATTACGAAATTCTTTATATTCATCAGTAAGAAGATTTTGAATTGCTACAGCAATTTTTACTAAATTAATATAACAGTCAGCAAGTGTAGAACAATTTGCTTCAACTGCCAAAATTGCTTTTTTATTTGGAAGTAAAACATCTGAAAGATATTGCAGATCAGTAAAAAAGCCTTGACCACGAAGTATTGTTAAAACAACAGAACTAATAATTTCAGAGTGATTTTTTTGAATTTCTTCTAAACAAATTTTAAGTTGCATAATTGAGAAAACACATTCATACATAGTTGTTTATCTTGTTTCTACATATATTTTAAGACCACCACCACTAATTTGATGTTATAAAATTTTTTTTTTAATATAGCTCCAGTTTTATGAGATTTTTTAAAAAAAGTTACTATTTTATTAGCATGTTGAATCATTCTTTCTGCAAATGTATGCTTAATAATATCTTTACTAATCAGATTAAAACAATGAGCAATGTAACGAATATTTATAATATTTTTATATTTTAAGCAAATTATACTATATGCAGATGTTACATTAGCTTCATTGTCACTGATTATTGCTGAAATTTTATTTTTACCAATATGATTTATAATTAATTCAATTTGGTTAGCCAGAAATTCTGCTATATAAGATTGATCAGAATAATCTCTAAGTTCATAGAGATATTCTTGTTGTAATGGTGTTATAATAATAAAATTTCAAATTGATAGCTCATTAGAAGCAGTCCAACCATCCAAACCAATAGTAAGATTGCTTGTATATTCTAAAATTTTATCAACTTTGTGAATAACTTTTGCAACTTCTGAATCTAATAAACATCTTGAAAGAATCTTACATAATAAAATATTATAATCAGGATTTAGAAGCTTTAAAGCACTTATAAAAAAGGATTGTTGATAATATGAAAAGAATATCACATATAACAAAAGCTAATGTAATAGCTTCATTAATTAATAATTGCATAGGTGCTTCAATTTTTGTAGAATTATATCAATTAGTTAATCCAAGTTGTTTAGTTTTTTTATTTGTTTAACTAAAGATAAACTTGCATTTGATATAGGTTCGTCAGTTGGAATATCATCTAAATTATTAACTATAATATAATTAAAATTTCATCGTCACTCTTCAAAAACTTTTTTACAACTATTAGCAAGATGTGCTTGCAGGGTCTGTAGTTTAGCACATGAATAAAAGTAACCACAGAATAAACAAGTTCCTTCCTAATGACCATTACCTTTAGGCTGACCTCTTTTAAAAAATTTTCAAACACCTGTTTGTAGACATCCTAATTTTGAATTATTAGAATTTTTGGACTCTGTTTCAGTATCAACATCACTTAAATTGTTAGTTTGATTTTGTTTTCGTTTGGTCATTTAATCAATTTAAAAATTTTTTAATAAATTTATGAGATTTATTGTTATAGCAAAATTAATAGCATTACAAGATTTTTATACTAAAATTTTATTTAATTAAGCATTTACAGTATATGTTTACAATATTATTCTACGATGATAAATTGAAAAGCTTACTGGTTTGGTATAATAACTAGCTTTGCTATTAGTTTAAGCTTATATAAGTCAAATGTATAAATTATAAATATATAAGATTTTTTGTATACACAAGTTTAAGAATTAATTAGACTTTAATAAAAGGTATTTATCTTATACTATTTTCTACCTTTTTT